ACTGCACCCTTAAACCATATTCCACAGATAAATAAAGCACAAGAACTCTACAAATGTCTGGGCTGATATAAATTATGACAGCTCCACAAACCAGACATTTCATGCTCCATCTTCCAAAAACCTTGGCCTTAACTAAATAAACTCAATCAAGCGTTTAAGAATTTAAGGGTTTGAGATAGTACTCTTGCTCTGTAACAATGGGCAGACGAGGCCTCCCTGGAACCCGGCGTATTAATACAGAGGTATTTTTGGGAATTAACATTGCTTCATCAAGATACTCTGAAATTGGAAACAAGGGAACAGCAAGGCTATAAAACACTACAAGAATGATAAATTATAAAACCAAACTTATAGTTTATCAAATGCAATCCCATTTGGTAGAACCAATCATTCCTAGTCATGAGAAGTTAGTCTATCTACAAAACCCCCAAAAGGCATCTACAAACAATTCAGCATGAAATTTGTTTGGTTTTTCCACTGCCCACAGTAAAGAAAGCTCATTTGCACGCAACTGAATACATTGGGCACAAACTAGCCTTCTCCATAACGTGCATCAGTGTGCAAATCCAGGTGCTAAAAACAATATGGGCAGAAAGTGGAGTGACGAATCCAGAAGCAAAACCCAGAATTAAGAGTTGCATTGCCATTAGGTTTGTAATTTAATTGAAGGACAATCTAAGTGATAAACAATCTAGTTAAACTAAAAAAAGAATTAAAACCAACCTTCATTGGTTTGGGCATTAGTGACAACAAGGTCGAAGTCTGTACCCCTTCCCAAATGCTTTGATTCAAAAATTTTTTCTTTCAAAGTACCAACGGATATAAATGGACCGTCCATTGGGATTGAATCATAATCTCTAGCACTCTTAAATTTGTAATACACAGCCATTTTTTTTCTTTCCACTAATTCAATAAAAAAAATATTATCAGATATCAAAACAACAGCACACACAATAAAACGTGCCTCTCAAAAAACAAGGCCTGCTATTCAACTAAAAAAAGATAACAGTACAAAAAATTGAACTCTCTCTATCTCCTTTTCTCTATCCTTCTCAGGTAAAGATCAATCAAACAAACCAACTACGGAAGAAGAACCGTTCGCTTCGCGTGCCTCTTTCCCAGCAAACCCTTCAAAACCCAGCCAATAGCACAAAGCTCCTCTCTTTGAGTGCAATCAGACCAATCAAATCCTTGAAACAAGAAACTTCCGGTCGCAATCTAACTCAATCGAACAATTTCGGAACTTGTGAGTGGTAATTGAGAGATCGCACCTAAAACAAAATAAACCCCATAATCGTCAAACTTCAGTGGGAAATGATTGAATCTGATAAATCAACTGATCCAAATCTTCATAGCCCAGCCAGATTAGACAACAGCCGCCAAATCCTCAATCACCAAGAAAAAATCACGAACTTGAAAACAATCTCGGGTGCAGTGATGATTATCATTGAAGGAGATTGATTGAAGCTTCACTGCGACAACCCTAAAATCGAGAGATTTAGAGGGATTCTTCGCGAAACCTCATATGATAGAGCGAGAGAGATAGGTTAGGGTTAGGGCTTGTCGAGAACCCAGTTAGGAGGGTAGTTTTACGGATTTGTGGTTAAAAGGGTGAAAGTAGTGTGCGTGGGAGTGCGGGTGGGTATGCAAAGAGAAAGAGAGAGGAGGTGATTGCTTTTGCTTGCGTTGCACGGGTTTATTATTCATTTACTGCTTTGTTTCGGGGCTCGCTTCCTTATGTGTGCTGCCAATTGACGCGTTGTTTAGGAGTCTCGGACTTCTGGATAACGTCCCGAAAGGGCCCGTCTTTATATGTCGAGTCCAATTATATTCGCCGGGTTTTACTGTCTTTACAAAGAAAAAAAAACATAGAATAATTATTACATTACATATTAAATTATTTTATTAAAGAAAACTCGTTGAGGAAATTGCTATTGAGTTGCTGAATGGACACACTTTCACGGCTTGTTTGAGAACACTCAATTATTTTTTTATTTAAAATTATTCTTTATATATTTTAAAATTATTTTAAAATCCTAACATTAAAAATAAGTTTTAAAAAATAAAAATATTATTTGAATATATTTATAAATAAAAAATACTTTAAAAAATCATTATTACTGTAATAATAAACACGTCTTCAATACATGATGTACTCATTGTATGCTGAGTTTTTTTATTTTTATTTTTATTTTTTTAATTTTATCATGTTTATTTAAATTAAATTATTATAGAATGAAAAAGTTAAAAAACAAATAACCAAAATAAAAAGAGTAGAGGAAAAAGGTGGCAACCTTGAAATTTTTAAAAGTTAACTTTGGTCCTATACTTTCCAATTTCTTTTTTCAATCCATTTGATTTTTAAAATTTTAATTTTAATTCAAAACTTTAATTTTCTTTTCTTTTAGGTCCGGTTTGAGAGAAAAAAGAAAAATTTATCATATTTTGATGGCAGGGAGTAAAAGCCTTGATTAACACCGATTTAAACTACGAAAAAGATCGATCTTGATGTTAATGAGTTTCATTTGATAAGGAGAGCTCACATATTTAGCCTTCCCGTCACTTAAAATAAGACATCTAAGCTTGTGATTGTTTTTTGTTCATGTTGATTTTAGGTATATGGACTAATTTTGGGCTATTTAAGGTTATATACAAGTTTATTAAGATATATAAAGTTTTTTATAAGTATTTTGCATCAAAATAAGTTAAAAATCAATTTTTAAATTAGAAAACCAAACACTAATTTTTCAGTCACCATTCCATGCAAAATAAAGAATGGAGTCGGCATCCCATCACTTTCTTTCAAAAAAAATAGAATCGATGAAATTTTCAAATAAAAAAATAAGGTCCACACACAAGCCTAACTTACCAAGTCAGACAAAACCTAGTTTCTCTCCTTTTTTTTTTGTCTAATTTTGTTTTCTTGTACTCTTTATTTGTATTTTTTATTTTTTAAAATTTATTTCTAAATTAATACCCCTTTTGATTTTTTTTAGATTGTTTATTTAACTATTTTCGAATAGTTGTTGTTTTTTTAAAAATTATTTTCCATATATTTAATGTTTCGAAGAGATTATTGTAGTTTATCTATATTTTTTTTATGTTTTTATGTAGATGAATGCTATCTTCATGGTGTTTTTATAAGAATAAATATTATTTTCATGGTAAGAAAATGTAACCTTTAGGGTAAAAAAATGTATGCATTAAAGGAAAAGGTTAGGGTTAAATATAATAATTATCTTTTTTATATATATAATAATAGATAGTATTATCAATAAAATATCATATTTATCTATCTTTTATTTTTATGAGAATTATTTTCCTTTTATTTTGGAATTTAATTAGCATTAGTAGTTCTTTCTTAATTTATCGGTTCATATATTTTTAGATATATTATGTCTAGACACATATCCTTTATATATTTTTTAATTAAAAGAATTTTATACGGTTAAACGCACTCACAACATTGTTTTATTTTTCAACCATGTTAAAAAATAACTTGAGACCTATCACATGTTGACAACTCTATTTTATATTTATTAACGCATATAATCCTTGTTTTATTTTATTATATGCAAGCATATAATTTTATATTTATAATTATATTTTGTTCTTGATGTTAAAAAGCACAACACCAACACCAACAAACTCGTTCTTTTGTGTTAGAAAAAACTATATGGTCGGCAATGAAGTAAGTCAAATAGACTTGTCAACACCTTTTTTTTTTTATATATATATATATTTAACACCTTTTTATATATATATATATATATATATTGGCATAGATGATCCTCAATTTATTTAATTAAATGTATGTGATTTATTATTATAATTTGTTGTTGTAAAAAAATATATTTAAAAAGCTTATATATTTATTTTTTATTTAAAAAATAATTATTTGACCCTGATGAAGCACAAGTCAAATAGCTAGTAAACAATAAAACAACTATCATGTTTTCCTATCTTAATTTTTCATTTCAAAATGTTTTATTTGATCATCTAACTTTATTTCTTTTTAATTGAGCTCTTCCAAATTATATTAGCCTAGTTTTATTTGTGGATTTTTCTACTTCACATGCTTTTGCACAAGCAAAAGATTGAGAAATGTCGTAGTGTTAGATTAAAAATTAATTTTGTGAAATAGAATTTTATAATTGAAAACAAATCAAAATAACAAGGATGAAAAAAAAACTTGATATTGAAAAGACATAGAAACTTTATTCTGGTTCCTGAAGTTTCAGTTTACATATTTTAGTTGGTTCTTAAAGTTTATGAATTTTATGTTTTGATATTAAAATTTATTTATTTTTATTTCTTTTCAATCTAATATTGAAATAAGAGATAAAAAGTTGTCAAAAAAAAAAGGTGGGGAAGAAGCTAACTGAAAATGCTCTGAACACCAAAAAGACCAATCTTAGAGTGAGTGAGTTTTTTTCGTAGAGAGGAGTTTTATGAGGGCTTGAGACGGTTTTTTTTTAATTCATTTTTATTTTGAGTTTTTCCATTAATCGGAGAATGTTTTAGGATTAAAAAGAGGTTTAATGGGTTCATAACATGTTTCTTAAGTATTTTTGGGTTAAAAATTTGAAAAATAAAATTTTAAAATGTAAAAACTTTAGCTTTACTTTATAGCTATACTTTGTATCATGACCTTTCAAACTCAAACATGTTTGGGCCTTTTATTCTGGCCAGGCCTTGCAATCCTAGTCACAACTAGCTTATTTTAAAACAAGCCTCAGCTCTCTCTCTTTATATTATTATAATAATATATTTATTTTTAAAAAAAGTATTTTAAAATAAACCTTAGCTTCAACAATTACACGAAGTTTGCTCAACTCGGTGTAGTTTCATAATGTTCCTCACCAGCGAGGATATGAGATTGGAGCATAATTGATGTTGAATCTAAAGGGTCGTCTGCCATCACTTCTATTCCAGTTGTTTCTGTTTCTTTCGTCACAAAACGTAACCAAAGCTATCACAAGGAACAAAATATACATATCTGAAAGACCAATTCAAAACCCTTTGTTCCCATTGATATGGCCATGCTCAAATTAAATAAGCCGCAGCAAACCGTTCGATTAAGGGCTATAATGTGGGGTTTAATAAAGAAAAGAAAAGGAAAAAGAAGAAAAAAAGGTTCATACATCAGTCAAGATTAATGAAGATACAATCACAACATATGCCAGGAAAAAGAAAATCGCAATCTGCACAAAGAACTTTGGATTCTCTCTCATGTTTGGGGATGTCACTGCCCTGTTAATCAGAAAACCATTCAACTTCGTTAGGCTTTGCAATGGAGAGTAATTAGCTTTGATTAACCTCAAATGGAGGGGCATGAACGAAAATGAAAAGATCAAAATAGACTCTTCAATCGATACACCGTAACAATCTCCACTGGATACAAACAAAGAAAGAACATCGGCGTTTTGGCCATGCTGAAAAATGATGTTACCTAGCAATGCGCTGAGAAAACAGTTGAAAGGGCAAACTTTGGATAAAGACGATGCCTGGTCCTGTTAGAGTGGCTGTTACTAAATTGTCACCCTGCAATTTCAAAGACAGTTTAGAACAGCCAATTATTGCAAAATGTTAATTATATACTCCAGTGATACAGGGTGTTTTTCATAAACAAAGAAGCTATCTTTAACTTTGTTGATTCATTATTTTGTATTGTGGTTGTTTGGTCCCTGTAAATGAGCACTTAGGTTTCGTGGTGACGAGATCAAGGTAACTCTTATATAAGGTATAAATTAGAGAGACTAAGCTACTATTTTCTACATGAAAAAAGACAAAAGTCTGCGTTGTTTTCATTTGCTGCTAACACCTAAACAAGAAGAAGATTTTATCTGCTTTCATTCTCCATCCGTTTTCTGTTATGCCAACAGTGTAAAGGCACAACTCAGCATACTAACAATATCACATTAGGCAAGAAGCCGTGAGTATTAACTGATCACTATAATCGAACAACAAGCACACTCTAAAGGAGAAAGTCCACAACATCACTAAAAATTAAGGGCCTGGACCAACAAAGACAAAAGTAAACAAAAACATGAAGAGAGAGATAGAGAGTAAAATCTATAAAAAAGAGCAACTTACCCCAAAGACTGCTCGTCTCACTGGCCCATTGTACTTGATTTGGACATTGACTGTGGTATTAAGGGCAGCAATGCAAGACACATCAACAGATAATACCTCACCCACCTCAAGAACTTTCTGTGCAACTGGCAAAAAACAAAAGCCATAAAGCTCCCAGGGTCAGTGCAAAAGGGGACAGATCCAGAGATTAGTGTGGCAGAAAAAACAGTAAACACGTCCATGAAAAGTGTATACAATCAAAGATCAAGCATAATAGGGAGAAATGGAAGAGGAAAGTGACAATATAAAGAAAAGAACAGAAAGGAAACAAGTGAGTGGGTGTTGCAAACAAGCATGACCGGACACTGATGCCTGCCAAGATATTCCAAACCACATAGATAAGCCTAAAAGGTCAATCTGTTCCTGATCCAATTTGCATATATAGAATTCAGGGAAGACCCACACTTTTATAAGTTCTTTCTAATTCTTGAGATGTCAGAAAATGCATACCAGATCCTCCAGCAAGAATAAATGCAAGTCCCTGTCCAGTTATCTTCTGCCTCAAAAACCCCTATAGAAGCATCAATATCACCATAAAAAAATTCAGATGACTTGAGGAAAGATCAAGATAAGACCAGTTTAAACAGAAAAAAAGATTGCTTGAATGACCATGACAGTCAGTCAACAAAAGCAAACAGATAAAATTGAAAAATTCAGAGTGGAGAGTGCTTGCAAACAAAAATAATCTAACCTCTATATTAGGCATGACATTACGTGCCCTGTGATCTAATGCATTGCTGACCTTCACATCATTGACAGAGCAAAGGAATGAATCTGGCTACACAACAATTTCACAAAGAAATAAATTTGCAGCAGGTAAAGAGTAAGGAGGGAAAAACACACTTCTACTTAGAAAATAATGGAAGCTTTGAGCATCTAAGTTTTTTCACTGCAAAATGACTAATACCATAAGAAGAAAATTCTTATCAGCAAAACCAGGGACACAAACAAAAAGACCAGAGCTTTACCAGGCATAAAATCTCTCCTCCAAACTTCGCCAAGTCAATCTGCAGACAAACCAACAACAGACCAGACAAATTACAAACAACAGCCAGCCATATTAAATTATAAATTTGGGATCATGAGCTTCACATCACAGGATAAAAAATAATGCATCTCAGAACTTCCCGTAATAGAAGCACAAACCGGGAGGATTCTTGCAAGAGAAGGTGTAGCAATTCCAACAAATCCATCACTTGGACCAGGATTACGGAAGATTACACTAGTAACAGCCTTGCCAAAAAACCACTGCCAGACACCCACTTCATTTTCAGGGATTAAAACATTCTCCATTTCAATGGACCCAGACATGAAGCACATAGCACCTGCACTTTACTTGGGTATCAGTTCCATGCAGCATGGTAATAGTGAATGGAATGTGTGTTTCATAATTAAAGATGTTTGATTGGGCAAAGCACCGACTTGAAATAAAAAATCCTTCCTCTCCCGGCTCCTAAGGATATCCTGGCGTGCTTGCCTCGATCTTATATGGCAAGAGAGAAACAAACAGGTGGCACTCTAAACAATCATCATCAACAGATAGTATTGTACATAATATAGTTTTTATCGTTAAAAATAGATTACAAAATACCGACATGTGCAAAGATGCCATCAGGAAACCTCCTTTGTTAATGTTAGCTACATTTGGGAGTTAGTTTAAGAGTCATACCCATGAAAAAAATTGCCTTTTGCTTTGTAGTAGGGATTGGCTCCTACATTTTCTGTTTCCTTTATAAATGATATTCATTCATTCATTCATCACAAAAAAAAAGGAAAGGAAAAAAAAAAGCTAACACAGATATGTATAAGCCATAAAGAAAATCGAGTTTCAATCACCTTACCTGGTTTTGCAACAATTTTTTCTTGTGGTTTCAACATTATCTGAATATGCAAAAATCAATACCATTGAAGAAATTTAGAAAAGAGAACCAAAAAGGAGGGGCACAAACTAGGGATAATTATCATACACACCTGAACCACCTGAGCTTCACCCCCCATAATCTGGAAAGGTATCACATCACCTTGATGACTCTACATTACATTATCCCTCATGAGATTGTTCAGTGTATGTAATATTACAAAATTAAAATACAGACTCTCAACAACAAAGAAGGCAATATAAATTGGTGATCCTGGGATCAAGTTAGTCTTCATAAAGTGGGCAGAACTGATGATACCAAACCAGGAAGAATGATACCCACAGGACTAGCAAAATAAACAGCATATCCACACCAATTAATGTTGTTGATCGCCTAAAGGAAATAGGTGGAAACCAATCACTCAACATTGTTTTCTATCTATTGAAATTATTAATGATATAAATTGAATGGTGAATTAATTTTAAACCATTACACCACAGTAGGACTTCCTAGGTCATAACAGTTGCAAAGCGGAACCAACTTGAAAACTCTCTCTTCGAATCAGAATTCATTTTCCTTTTATCAGCCTGCCCCATCAACCACTACTGTTTTATTGTCTTCTTCTGCGCATTCTTATATCTTCAATCTTCATCATTTTGATCATACAATCTTTATATTCATATTCATATTGAGATAGGCAACAGCCAAAGAAGAACCAAACTTAAACCTAGAGCATGTTCCAAAAAGCTTCACAGACCAAGCAGCCAAGAATCTTCCTTAATACAGGAAGAAGAGTTTACAAAACTAGATAATAGTTTGATCAGCGTTCGCTGATGAGGTGAGAACCTCAAAGGTCAGAAAATCCAACAAAAAAATAATAATTCAGCGATACCAATTTCCAAAATATTCCTCAATTCTATAAATAAAAAAAATCCCATTTTACACAAAATCTTGTTCAATTAGCAAAAACAGATCACATTTATATCGAATTGAGTAACAAAGTCACTTCTGCTACTAAATTCAGCCATGGACAATGAACATAAAAAAGGGATCAAACCACACTAAAACCCTCAACTCAACATCCATCATTCAAATTTTATTCATTGACATCAGCGACCAATCATATAGACGTAATTGTGAAAATAGAGTGAAATCGTATACCTGATAAACGTAAGGTTGAAACGGAGTAGAGAAGAAAGGTGCAGCCATGGAGGCGCTAGGATTACAGAAGCAGAAAGAAAAATAAGTCCTTTAATTGTATAACGGAGATCACAAAAATGGTTCCATTTACGTTATCAGATCAGAAAAATTCACATTCACACATCGAAAACTAATCTAAAAAATTAACAGAAGCACGAAGCTGAACGGTTCTTTTTCTTTATTTAATTTTCAGGAGAAAGGGGTTTGAGTTCTGGATGATGCTGAATCTTGTTGATTTGCCTTTGAAAGTTAAGTGATTCGATGCCGCTGTTAGTTTTTGATGATACCGCTTGAGCGCTGGGTAAATATTATTTTAAAAAAACTATATTAAAACTATGTTATTTTATGTTTTGAAATTTAATTTTAAAAAATTAATTTAAAAATAAAAAATAAAAAAAATTCTTAAAAATGGTTGGATTGTAAAGGTTTTTATTTTTGCGTTGTTATCGAGCTGAGTTACATTATTGATAGACTGAACTATAGAGTCCTAATTATAATTATTTTTTCAAATATTTTTTATTTTAAAATATATTAAAATAATATTTTTTAAAAATTATTTTTGATATTAATACATCAAAATAATTTTAAAATAAAAAATATATTAATTTAAAATAAAAAAATAAAAAATATTTCTAAAACACAGTATTTACTTTATTAATAATGGCAAAGTGGGTCCGGTTGTTGATGGGCCTTACCTGTTTTACAGGACATTGTACCCAGTTAAAGGCAGAACATCCATTCAATCCCCAGAAGGCCTCTGTTCTGGATCTCTACCCAATTGAAAGCGCTCGTGATTTTTATTATTATTATTATTATTATTATTATGTTTCTGTTTGCATTTTCAGAAGCAATGTTTGCATGTTAAGTAGCAATGAGTTAGCGCTGAGCTTCTTAACGCTGGGAAGTAGCATAGATTAGCCAATCATGATGAATAATTAAAATTTAAGAGTAAAATTGAATTAAAAAACTAGAAATTTGATGCAAATGTTAGCTACGGAGTTTATAAAAAGTCAAAACTCTTAAAAATAAAAAAGACAAATTTAAAATATTTATTTTTTATGTATATGTGTCTTTTCTTATAAAAAAACCATCACAAAACTTTTTATAAAAAAAACTAAAAATCATAATAATATTAAATAGAAATAATAAAATAGAAACCTATTCCCTTAAGTTAGGAAAAAAACCTAGAAAATCATAATAATATCAAATTGAAGAAAAATAAAACTAATTCTTTTTTTATTTTTTACAAAAAACTCAAGTACTAGTGTTCCTAGTTAATTAGAAACTCACCCTAAAGTTCAAATATCAAATATAAAATGTCATTCATGGCAAGCATCCTTTTATATATGGACTATTCCATCTACTCTTAAGATTTTTAACTGAACGTCTCATCACGGATTTTAAAATCTTTATCTTGAGCGTCTCATCATGGATCCGATCATGATTTTTAATAATATGAACTATTGTAGATGAAAAATAACAAATTGTTTCTTGGACTTTTCTCTTCCAATAATAGTTATTCAACAATACATTTCAACCACTCGTCGAGAATTGTTAAACTCTAGTATATATCTTTTATGACTTTTAATTATTATGATTTGAAAACACATAGCAAAAATCATAGGGATCATTGGACTTTGCTAAAACTTAACACAAGTAAAAATAAAGAGTAACAATATTTATCACGTATCAAAATTTTTAAAAACCAAGAACATTTTAATTATAGACAAATGTATAAAAGATTCATTTTTTATTCCTTGAAATCTTTATTTGTTAAAAGGCTATTACATCCATTTATATAGAAAAACCTAATAATACTTAATAGGAAAAATAAAATAAGAAAACTATATATTCTCTTTAATTAGGATACAAATACTAGAAAGGTATAATAATATAGAACATGAAAGAAATAAAATCAATTAATAAAAATACTTATTTAAAAAAAAACCTTCAGAATTAATCAATAAAATAGTGAAAAAAATTAAAGACAAGAAAAAACAAAAGATTTAAAAACAACAACCAAAATGTGTAGGCTTATAGTAGGCCACACAAAAGGCTCTAATTTTTTTTTTATTAAAAGTGTTGGCGACACATTTGTCACTAGAATCTAATTACCACTATGATGTCTGAAAAATTAAAAATATGATTTTTTTTCTATTGAAAATTGTTTTTCAATCAATTTTCACTAAAAAACAACTAATAAACACTATAAAATATTCCCTAAACTACATGTCAATAAAATAAAAATATGAATTATATAAAATAAATCAAAATAAAACCTAGTCTTGTTTTTCATGCATGTTTATAAGGAGAACACTGCTATAATTAAACTCGTTTAATTGAATAGAACCTATTAATATTTTATAAATATATTGTTTTTTCTCTCTTCATTGTTACCAAGTGAATTTCTTCTTTTTTTTCATGATCAAAGCTAGAAAATAAAAAAATAAACTTTTAAACAATAAAAATTGTCTCGAATTTGGAATTAAACATGTATTTTCTTCATGTTTTATTTCGGTCATTCTTTTTTATTTGGTAGTTTTGCTATAATTTCAAAATTAATTTTATTTATAAAAGGATTAAATTGAAAAAAAAAACTAAATGTTTTAGTAAAAAAGGTAATTTGATAATGAATACCCGAATGCGAATATTATTGAGTTTCCTATTAATATTATAACACAATGCATTCGGATGCTTTTAAAGACTCACACATGCATGCATGCATTCTTATAAACACTTCAATAATATAGGATAATTGATTTGCTTATTAAGTGATTATGATTTATTAAATTATCGTTTAAGGTACAGATTCTAGGAAAAAAGACATGTTCATTGGAGTGCATATCAAAATATTTTTAAAGGATATTTTACTTGAAAATAAATTAAAATAATATTTTTTATTTTTTTAAAATTATTTTTTATTCAAGTATATCAAAATGGTGTGAAAATATAAAAAATAATTTTTATAAAATACTGTTTGAAATGCAATTTTAAACTGTGTCCAAATATTAAAAAAAATAAAAATAAAAATTATAAAAGAGCAAGAAAAGCAAAACGCCTTGGAAAAGAAAACTCTAAAGAAAAGATAGGATTGAGTAAAGGCATTTCATGGCGCAACGGTCAGTCCGTTTACCGGGTCCGTTGCAAACGCAATGCTTTCCCTTCTTTCCCTCCACAGTCAAATTCACTTTTCTCCTTTCCTTCCTTCCCTCCTTCATCACTAAACCTTTTCATATCTCATCATTTCCTTCCAATTTCGCAAGGTACTTTCAATTCCCATTCTCATCCTCTTCCTCCAATCTCTGTTCCAATACCAGGTACTTTCTCTCTTTCTCCCTTCTTATTTTTTGCAGTTCTTTTAAGTCCTTTTGAATTTTAATATTCATGCCTTCTTACATTAATCTCTCATCAATAACGGAATGCTTAAGGTTAATATTGAAGTACAAGGAGAATTTTTATTGGTATAAATTATTAAAAGCATGCCATTAATGGATCTGCCCCGTCTCAAGCTTTGAAAAATATATATAAATGAACCCAGTTTTTTTTTTTTTATATATATATATATTTAAAAAAAGTAATCAAGTGGTTATTAAATAAAGCCTCCAAATTTGGAGAGGTGTGACGTGCACAAATGATTGGAGATTGGATTGTTGTAACTATCTAAAGTTAGTTAATCTATAGATAGTAAAATATGTTGTCAGGATGGATTATGTATTCTTTCTTAATTGTAATTCCGATTGAATTGAGTAAATGCTTGAGATTTCTTAGTTTTTTTTTCAAGCTGATTGATGTTTTCAGTTTCTGGTTTCAGAAGCTGGCCTTTTTGGAGTTTTAGATTTGAAGGGTATAATTTGCAAGATAAAACCAAGATTCTGCTTTTTTTCACGCGCTGCCGATGGTTTTAATGTTGTTTTGGCCTCCCCAGCAACCGAATCTGTGAAATCTCTGAATCTTCAATCCCAAAGGACTAGATTGATGTGCTCATCCTTTATATGAAGGAGTTTTTTGATACTGTTATCACTACTTAGATGATTGGGAACAGAGAACTTTTTGGAGTTGTTCTGATGAGAGAATTATTATGGCGTTGTGCTTGGAAAAAAGTTGATTGGAGAAAACTGCTGTTCCTTGGTGTGGTCATGACAATAGTTGGAGTTTTGGTTCCCGCATATACATTTCCTCATACAGTGAATATGTGGTTCCTTTCTCCACCTCTAGCTGTTTCATCGTACGTATCCTTGAATGGTAGTATGCAGTTAAGAGAGGCTCCTACTGAAGCAAGGGTTCAAAAATTTCCTCCTGTTTCTGCTGCTTCAGTTCTTTCTCCGAATACCACAGTGCCATCTAAAAATAAAAGTGCCAAAGTCTCTCGGACGAGAAACTCTGTATTAAAAAGGAGAAAGAAGAAGAGCAAGGAAAATGATGAGTCAAAGATTGTTCTTCCTCCTCCTCGTAGTCCCATACCTCCCCATATGCAGGTACAGCCATTGAGTATTGTAACCTCAAACTTTTCTTTGGGAATTATCATAAAGGAGTCGCTACAAACAATTATTTTTCCTCCTTTCATATAATTCAGAGATTCATTTGGTCCTTGTCACCGAATGATGCACTTATATATGCCAAAAGGGAGATTGAGCATGCCCCAGTGGTTATTGACGATCCTTATCTGAGTGCCCCTATATTCCGCAACATTTCTGTTTTTAAGAGGTATGTAATGCTTCTCGCCGCCAGTTTATGGTCTCCTAAGTTAAAGATAACATGAACTCTGCCAATCTGTTTATATGAAGAGAGGGAGACAGATAGGCATTTCATTGTTGGTTGCATAGACGAAAGAAAAATAGAAGTGCATAAATTGCAGGGAGGTAGAATTAGCAGTATTTAAACAACTAGTTCAACTGGGTTTGTCACGGTCATGCAATATGAAGATAATTTAATGAATAGGTCTTTAGCTATGGATTTGCTATGGATCGAGGAAAAAGGAAATTGGTGTAGTTTTCTCCTTCATATAGCTAGTTCGGTTGTTTTCCTTGTTGAGTCAAGTCTCATTTCAGTTTTGTGTCTGTATTGTTCAGTTTATCTTGCATCTCCATACCATTCTTGTATTTTGAGTTCTTCTGATGAGTAATATTACTCCCTGTCCAGATTCGATAAGCAGGCATAGTTCGTTTCGTTCAGTGCTAGAGGTTTCCAAGAAAATTCATTATCCCCTTGTCTAGAAGAATTAGAAATACACTGTCTCTTTAACAGATTTGCATTGTAGGCAATCAAAGAATAAGTGCTGCTTTGCTGTTATGACAAGAAAACATCTATTTTTCTTTCCTGTTCAGATGACACTAGTTATTAGGTCCGAATCAAAGATTCTCCTTTTTATCGGCCATACTCTTGGGGCAGAATAGAGAAACTTCAATACCACATTACAATTACAAATACAAATAGAAAAGAAACTAAAATATTTAGGGTTCTCGTAGATGTAAAGATAAAAACACCTTGGATTTTGGATTGTAACAGTGATGCATATTTTTTAGGTCAAGTTTTTTTCTTTAATTTTATCCTTTCAAATTAGAATGGTTTAGAATTAGATTTGATGATTTGATTTGATTGACTTTATATGAGGTTTTTATAGTGTTGGAGAAAAAATTTGGTGTTTAGTTGATGCTGAATTTGTCAAAATAATATTTGATTTCATTGATTTAGAACAATTAAAACTTTAAGGATCAAATATGAAACTAAAATAAGTATTTAGGTTTCAAATAGTTGCACACTATAAATTGTAATGATGCCATGTGTTTGTGTTTTAACCCTATTTTTTTAAAATTTTTTCTTTTTAAATTAGGTTGATTTAGAATCGAACTTGATTGCTTATTTTGATTGGTTTCTACGAGGTTCCCACAATGTTAGAGAAAAGAATCTAGTTCTAGTGCTTTGATACTCAATTTTAAAAAATAAAATTCTATATTATGATTTGGGTTACAGATTTGATGGGTTAATCTAAATCGAGTCGGGTTGTTTTTTTAAGTTCTATTTTTAACTTTATCTTTTAACATAGGTTTTGTTTAGAATTGGAATTTATGATTTATTTATTTATTTTTTTGGAGTTAACTTGGTATTGTAACCAACGTCGTGTGTTTGACAGGTTAATATAGGTTGACTTGAGTTGTTCTTTGTGATTTGTTTTTAATTTGCTTTTTATGAGTTTATCTCATTCTCATAATCCAAGTCGCAAGTTTTACGAGCTAACTTAAGTTGCAAGTTTGACATGCTAATCCAGATTAACTTGATTTTTTTGTTATTTTTTTAATTGTTTCTTCTTCTTTTTTTTTTTTACAATTTTATCTTTTAATATTGGGTTGGTGTGAAAATTTGTTTCGTATTTTTTTTTAATTTACTTTCTATGAAGGTTATCATATTTTCATAACTTAGCTTGTGAGTTTGAAAAGTTAATTAGAGTTGTTTTTTTGTCTTTTTTTTTTTAAAAAATTGAATTAAGTTTTTCTAGTTTTGTCCCTAATATTTTATTTGCTAAGAATTGATCTTTATAATTTATTTTAATTTATTTTTTATGAGATTATCGTGCTTTCATAACTTGGAACACAAATTTAATAAGTTATCATGAATTATCATGGGTCAATTTAATATGTTATCATCTCACTATTAAATTTTTTTTTTTATCTAATATCTCATTGTATCCATATTTAAGAAAAGTGTTGTCCAATATGCATGGTAAGATTTTGAATTTAAGATAAAAAAATTCTTTCTAAAAAAACATATTAGTAATTCCTTGGAATTTTCTTATGTTAAACAACAATTTGATCAAGCTAACAACATAACTCATGTCAACGATGTAGCGTACGCTGTAAGCAAGTAATGACATAGGAATCCTTCTTGTCCGCAATGCAAGCCTCCTTCTAATTTTTTTACCTTTTAGCATTCACCAATTGTTTTTCATGTATTTATGTTAAGATTTGTGGTTCAGTAAGTTTTCACTTACATCTCTTCTACTTACCGAATTTGTACATCCAGGGCTACATATTTAGTACTTGGAGGTTCGAAGTCATTGAACCTAGTGTGTATTTTATGAATGAAATAGGATTACCCAAGCACTTGTTAATTTTCTCCATTTATGAAATGCTATGATGTTCAACAATCAGGTTAGCCAATCCGACAAGCCTTTGATTCCCTGCAAGCTTTACGAAACTTGTTATTAAAGCTGCCTTTTGAATTGCCATGACAGAAGTTTCTCTTTTGTTGCATACTGTAATTAAACGCATCATCATCAGAATAAAAATACTTCGCTCAGTATGTAAGATATCTTGATTATGCAGTGGAGGAGAGTAACGTTTGTTTGAAAGAAATTCAAACTAACTGAATCAATAAGTGGTTGAGGCTGTCCTGTTTTGTTAGTTTCCATCTACTCCTTTGTTCCACAGTGCTAGCATACCTGTAGCTGTTCTAAAAGCCAGCTTATTTCTAGTTTGGCCTCCTAGGGCTTTGATACCATATGTTATTCAGCTCAACGAACAACATGATTCTATTGTTGTCAATTGTTTTAAAAACATGTGTTTGAAGACAAATTCAACCTGGATTTCAGGAGCTACGAGTTGATGGAAACGATACTTAAAGTTTTCATCTACCCAGATGGAGATAAGCCCATCTTTCATCAACCGCATCTCTATGGAATCTATGCTTCTGAAGGATGGTTTATGAAGTTTATGGAGGCAAGCAGGGAGTTTGTCTCGAGAGATCCAGAAAAGGCTCATCTATTTTATCTTCCTTACAGTGCACGCCAGCTGGAGGTAGCGGTTTACGTGCCTAATTCACATAACCTGAGACCATTGTCAATCTTCATGCGAGACTATGCAAACATGATTGCTGCAAAGTATCCATATTGGAACCGCACACATGGAAGGGACCATTTTCTTGTTGCATGCCATGACTGGGTATGGTAATTTCTTATCCTCTCCGTAGATCTCCATTTTGATTTTGTGAGTGCTGATATATAGCTGCTTTATAGTCGGACAGTAAATTCCTTGTTTCTGTCTTTGTGGAAACACATAATTGCAATCCTCGGAGTAATTATTGTGTTTTTGGTCACATCTGTAGTTTTTCCTATCACATCCATTGATGATTGCCTTTGACAAATACCCCATTCAAGATGGTTAATAAATCTGGTATAGTTAAAGTGTCACTGAGCCGCCAGGTGCAAAGACATCCATGTTGTCCTTAAAGAAACATGTTAGAAAATTTAAATAATCTTAGACACTCTAGAAACTTCAGCTGCATTTCCATATAGTCAATGAATTCGTTGGGTTGACATGTCTAGAATCATTCAGTTGTTCTTGTTAAGCATATAATCTGGTAATAATTGTCATCAAAGACATACCAGTCTTTCTATTCTCATCATCTGTGTTATCCATTAGCCTCTTTTTTCCCCACTTTTATTTCAACATGGACATATCTACTGAGTTAAAAGCTTTCAGGTACAAGATAAATTATGGATACTTCAAACGACAAACAGCTTCTATCCCTTCTATCCTCTTTCTTTCACTTTGAATTTCACCCAGGAAAATGTTATGCGTTCCGTACGGAAACAATTGGATTCTTTTCCGTACCATAATGTCATGTCATTTGTAATTCTGAAGAGTATCATTGTCATGTTTGTATCTAAAAAATAGTTTTTCAGAAATTATTTTTAAAATTTTATTATATTTATTTACTATTAAAAAAGTTGATTAATGAAAAATATTTTTCAATCAAAGAAAAGTTTGGCTTAGTTTTCAGGAAAGTATTTTTTTTTTTGCTGTGTTTATTTTCTGGAAAGTGATTTTCAGGAAATCATTTTCCAAACTTTCTTGTGTTTGTTTGTTATTAGAAAAGTTAGTAAACGAAAAACACTTTCCAGTCAAAGAAAAATTTGGCTTGGTTTTTAAAAAAGTGTTTTCCTGAAAAATTTAGATGGAAAATACTTTTCAGAAGTTGTGAAAAATTTAGAAATGTCATTATTTGTTAATTATATCAAATTTGATCCTCAAACTTTTGATTGCCATATATATTTTGTATTGAATATTTATTTTTCAATTTTATTTTTTAAAATTTTATTTTTATATTAACTTTAGTCTTTATTTTTATAATTGTTATTTGCTTTTCTTCTATTATTTTTTTTTAATTTTTTATCTATCAAATTTGATCCTCATTCTTTTAATTGTTACTTTTTATTTGAAATACTTTATGAAATGTTAATTATTATTATTTTAATTTCTTCATCTTTTTTTTTTAGATTTGATCTTTATTATTTTGATTATTATTTATTTTGTTTGAGATAATTTATGAAATTATATATTTTTTTCAATTTCATTCTCATTCAACTTTTTTATTTGTAAAATTTATTCCTCATTATTTTAATAAACTTGAGAGAAATAAAATATTAATAAATTATTTTCCAGTTTATTTTCCATAACATAACCAAATACTGTAAAGTGTTTTCTAGTTCATTTTCCATAACATTGCCAAATATTAGAAAATAATTTACTTTTCAGAAATTCACTTTCTAGGAATTCACTCTCCTCAGAATTCACTTTTTAAAAAGAAACAACTTTTCTGCAAACAAACGGAGTCTAAGATTTTAATTTTAATTTTATTGTAGACTAATTGTAATTGAGAAAAGTGTTTGAGCGGGTGGTTTAACTTTTAAAAAAAAATATTAATTTTTTAAAACTTATTTTTTTTTAGTATTTTTGAATTGTTTTAATATGTTGATGTTAAAAATTAATTTTAAAAAATAAAATAAAAATCATTTTAATGTATTTTCAAGCAAAATTAAAAAAACAAGTTGTTGTCCCAAACACCCTCTAAATATTTAATTATTATTCTAGGGAAAAAAAGAGAGAAGATAATGAGAACAAAAAGTATTTGATATGAGAGACAGAGACATGAATATACAAATAAATATATTTCTAAGATAATTTTAAAGTAAATTTCTATACTTTTAAATAAAAGTTATAATAGGACATATTTCTATAGATAATATTTTTTTTTATCCTTAAAACATCTTTGCAAAAAACTCTTAAACTCCAAATTTGTCAAAATAAGACATGTAAAGGTAAAAATAATAATTATTATAATTTTAAAATCCAATCTAATATATAACTCGAAATAAGACCTAAGTTACAAGTTAGGAGGATTAACCAAGTTTGATTCTATTTTTTTTAAATGACGAGAACAAAATCCTTTTGATTATTAAAAAAAATAAAATCAATGAGATTTTGATTTATGTTTTACCCCGGGGTGAATGAGTTACTAATCAACTTAAATTTTTGACTAAATTAATTTTTTTTATTTTTTTAAACTCGGAACCGATTCAAGTCTCGAGTATATTGAGTTCCAAGTCGACTTGCTAAGCCGATTCAAGTTTTATAACTAAGGTTATTATATTATTATTAATTTCAATATTTAATATAAACTAAATAAAATAATAATATATAATTATTTTTAAAAAAATATATGAATTTAAAAATAATAAATATTAAAAATATATTTTTTAATTTTTAATTTTTTCCACCATCAACTTAGAGCTCTATCAAAACAATTGTATATATCTTCCTTCTCTATTGTGTTTGGTCATCAGCTGTCTTTTATGAAGACAATAACAAAGCTAGTTTTTTTATCTCACCCGAACACATAAATGCGCTAGCAAACAAACATGCATAGAACATCAAATGTTTACTGTGAATATATATTTCAAAAGTGTGACTAGAATACAATAATCAGTTTGGATGCTGAACCTAATATGTAAAATAAAAAGCTTTAGATGCAAATGTTTACCCCGAGTTGTTGCGTACCAATTAACGTCAAAGCTTTGGCTTCACAACCAACCTTAGCTGAATAATTGTAAGTCTTTCTTGAGTGGCTAGTTACGCTAGACATATGATGCAAAGGAAAAGTTAAAGAAAACAATAAATACAGAATACATAATTTTGATGAGCGAAAGGAATTATAGATATAGATATGAACCTTAAATTTACAGGTTTAGTTTCTTTAAAAATAATAATAGTAAAGTATATCTCTTTAGAAGGCTTACAAAATATTACAAAGACCAGAAATTCTATTTTAATTAGAAAACAAAAATAAAAATCTGAAATTACAAAGAAAAGAAACATAAAATCTGAAAAAAACATAAATAATTACAAAACTATCAAAAACAGGGCCAAGCAATATCTTTAATATTTAAATTTATGATGGTTTATGTAGCGATATAGTATCTACCATATATATATATATAGGAAACGACATCCAAAAGCTCTAGTAAAAGTTTGAATGTGATATAATAATTAAATAAAAAATTATGATTTTTTTAAATTATCATTCCACTTCAGCGTGATTAGATCTTTTCTTGATTCTATAACCATCACATTAGTTTATAAATATATTTTTTAGGTTATTATCCATCTAATTTATTTATAATAAATATATATTTAATTGTTTAAAATCACTTATTATTGTGAGCCCGGCTCCATCAACCTGGTTCAACTTTCACTTGTCCTCCTAACGTGGATTTTACTCATTTAAATGTCTACAAATACGCACTCGTGCAGCTTGGTACATGTTTTGAAATATGAATTTTGTTCTTGCGATTTTCTTTCAATTACTTTCAGAATGCTGGAATGTTTGTTCTCGAATATTGCTCAACTACTGCCATTATGTTTTGTTAACCTAGTTTTCCTATGTTCTAAACCATACAGGGACCTTACACATTGACTATGCACGGGGAACTAACCAAAAACACCATGAAGGCTTTATGCAATGCAGATGTGTCTGAAGGTATTTTTACTGCTGGCCAGGACGTATCCCTGCCTGAAACTACCATAAGGAGTCCCAAGAGACCACTTAGAAATGTCGGTGGTGGTGTAAGAGTATCACAGCGTCCAATCCTTGCCTTCTTCGCTGGAAATATGCATGGAAGGGTCCGACCGACACTCCTGAAGTACTGGCACAACAAAGATGATGACATGAAAATATATGGGCCGCTACCCATTGGTATATCTCGAAAGATGACTTATGTTCAACATATGAAATCTAGCAAGTACTGTATATGTCCAATGGGCTATGAAGTTAACAGCCCTCGGATCGTTGAGGCCATTTATTACGAGTGTGTTCCAGTCATCATTGCAGATAATTTTGTTCTTCCTTTCAATGAAGTTTTGGATTGGAGTGCTTTCTCTGTTGTTGTAGCAGAGAAGGATATCCCGAAGCTGAAGGAGATTCTTTTGGCTATCCCACTGAGAAGATATCTTACAATGCTAGCTAATCTGAAGACGGTGCAAAAGCATTTTCTTTGGAACCCAAGACCACTCAGGTACGATTTGTTCCACATGATTCTGCATTCCATTTGGTTTAGCAGGTTGAACCATGTTCAAATCCCTCAATCGTAGCTACTCCTTTTGGTGTGCAATACTTCGGCAAAGTACAGCCAAGTATTGATGATGAGCCCAAAAGAGTAGACATTCCACATGGCCAGTATCAATTCTGTAAAACTGCTGTGGTCCCTGGAAATGGCTTGATGTCAATCATGTACTCTCAACTGAAGAGGCAGAAATGAATATTTTATGGGAAGAAAGCCAAGGACGTATGAAAATTCATGACACAGGCATGTACAGTATGATTTACAGATTGCATTATCTTTAGCCATAAATCAGCTATACTGGATGGACGTACATGGCTGTTAGCTGCCACCCCACTTGCCTTTAATAAATGAACGCTGGTGCTATTGAACCTAGGATAAATATTTGGTCCGGCCTATATATAGCCTGCTCCATTATGCTGGTGTTTTGTCACCACTCCCAGGACTCCCCTGCCATGAAACGGAGGAGCTCGGATTTCGCATACAAAATGATTGAACCAGACGTTTAATTCTTAGCGATGTGTAAAATGACAGCTGCGCCATTTGTAACTCGTAACCTGATAAGTGTCTGTTAGCTGGAGCTGTTGGCTCTTGCAACAGGTACTTGGAAAACTCGAATCTGTGACTCCCATACTTACAATCATACATAGCGCGTGGGAAATTTGATATCATAGAAGGAATGTTGAGGAGGAAGAGCTTGTGCCAAGAATTTCGAGTTTCTCATTCTTTAATGCGGTGTTTGGCCCGTTGGTAAGTATTGATTGGACATGACATGACTGAAGTTAATAAATAATTGGTTTAATGAGCATTTAATTGAATTAAATAATTTATTTTATGTTATATTTAATTATATAAAACAAGAATAGGTTCTCCTAGCTTGGATTAATTTAAATTTAAAAACATTAAAAAAGTTGATTTAATTTAAAATAGTTAAAAACCTAGATTAACATAAGATAACATGAGTAAAAGATTTATTGATTTTGAAATTTATTTTTATCAAAACAAGGTTGCATTGAATTTTTTTAATTTGAGATAACTCTCTCAAACATGAATCTTATCTTGAATCAATTTCTGAATCATATTTTAAAATTATGATAATAATTATTTTTTTATATCCATATGTTAATTTGAATTAACTCAGGTTAACCTTACTGATCCATGACTCAAGTCTTGTCCTGAGCTGACCTTAAAGTTTAGTTTTAAAACTATAATAATAATCATTTTAATCTTTATGTTGACACAAGTGAACGGTTAACCCGAGCTTTGTTCCAGGTTGACCTCCGAGTTAGGTTATAAAACTATAATAATAACAATTTTTATATTTATATTTATCTAAGTTAATGGTCAACCCAACTCATGGCCCGAGTCTTATTTTGGATTGACCCATAATTGAATTTTTAAACTATAATAAAAATTATTTGTATCTTTACATTGATTTAAGTTAATGGTCAACTCAACTCGTGACTAAAACCCAATCTTAGGTTGATCCCTAAAAAAATTAAAAATTATTATAATAATTATTTTTATTTTTATATTGACTCAAGTTAATAGTCAACCTAATTCGTGACCCAAGTCTTGCCTTAAGTCAACTCCTAAATAAGATTTTAAAAATATAATAATTATTATTTTTATCCTTATATTGACCTGAGTCAACAATTAACCCGATTTGTGATCCAATTCTTGACTCATGTTGATCTCTTGTTAAATTTTAAAATTATAATAATAATTACTATTTTTATATTGACCCAGATTATGCTTATAATTTAACAAGTTTGCCTTACCTTTTTAGCATTACACAAATTTCTGAACTAAAATAGCCTTGAAGAGGATAAAAATTAATTTTAATACTGTCCAAAATTACACCATACAACTTCACAAAAAAAATTATATTGCCGAGTTCATCTTTGTTTAGCATAACAAACAGTGCCTAATTTTCAATGATGATTGGTTTGTTATGAAAATTTTTACATTTCCAGATTTCTTGTGTAGAGATGACAGCAGAGCATCCTTCGCGGTTGTCCATAACATTCTTACACCGCTTCCGGGGACAAACAGGTGGTTGTAGAACCCAGTTCTAATTCCAAGGAGTGAATGAAGCCAGCCGCATGGGAAAGGGAATTAAATGAATGAGATTTGGCCCTCTCTCTGTGTATTTTTTTTACACATTTTGATATTTACAAGATGAAGTGTCCTGTAAATAAAAAACAATTGGCAGGCAGCACCTAACATGCATTTTTCTGTACCAAATCGCAATAAATAGTCTCAGAACTAACAAGATGGCCATGGTTACTTCTTCGGAAAGAGATGAATGAAGGGTAGAGCTATTGTATATATATATATACTGTATTGGAGAAGAGAATATGGTAATTATTACCCCATCAATTAAAAATTAAATTTACTTGTAAATTTGTCATGCGAATGAGATCATGGATTTTTTTTTATTTACTATTATTATTTTGTTTTACAGTTGGAGATATTCTCAAGCTAATTAACTGAATTAGTTTCCACATATTAAAATTAAAGCCATCTTTCTTACCTAATCAGAAAAGATTTTCCACACTGAATTTAAGAAATTTATAATCATTATATTTCTCAATAGCATGACTGAAATTTTTATTTTTATTGTCAACTTTCTTTATCACCCGTTGGATGTCCAAGATTTTTTTAGTTTAGGGGTAATGATAAAAAATATTTTTTAGTATGTGTTTAGAATTATAATTTCGGTTGTTTTCTAAAATATTTTTCACTTATAAAAATACGTTAATAATATTTTTAAATTATTTTTAAGATTAATATATTAAAATAATTTAAAAATATTAAAAATATATTAATTTAAAAAATTAATTTTTTAAAAATATTTTTAAAATATAATAAGTAATAATGTGTTTTTTCAGTATCAACTACCAACACCAGCTTGTTCCAAATGCTGCTGCTCCATTACGGGAAAACTTAGACCGCGAAAATTGAAAAAAGAAAAAAAAAACATTAAAAGAAACTATAGGGCTACTGGTTTTACTGTGCATCTATTACGGTCCTTTGAAATAATAAAATGATGATTTTGCCCCTGTTATCATAACACAATTGCTCTTAGAAACGAGGGTATTATAGTTTTTATATTGTTATTTGCACAATAAAGTTACTGATGGACAAGGGTACTTTTAACTTTTTTGTTTTTGTTTTAGTTTAGCCTCAAAATTACCACAATACCCTTAAAAAAGATTGGGCTTTGCCTTGATCAAGGGGTGTTCTTGTCTTCTCATTTTGATTTTTTGTAATTATCAAGTTCGAATAAGAGTATTTTAGTAACTCAACCCCATGCTCAATCTCTTTTTTAGATTAAATAATATTTTATTATAAATAAAATATTATTTAATCTAAAAAAGAGATTGAGCATGGGGTTGAGTAGACATACGTGGGTTGTTTTATAATTTTTGGAAGAGGCATATTATGTCATTCAACGACTAAACTTTAGTTTCCATGATAATATTTTAGTCCTCATGATATTGCCTTTATTTCTAGACGGCATGTATAACATAAATATGTTGAGTTTTGCATCAGTTTTCATCTTTTTTTTTTCCTCTCTTTTTCTTGGTTCCATAACCAACCCTTGCACATTTTCATTCAAATTAGCCCTTTTTTGATTTTTTTCTTTCAAATTTCAGTTCCTTTTGTTTTATTTTAAATTATCCATAGTATTAGAATTTTCTTTAATTTAATCCTTCTTTAGTTTTTTCACCTTTTAGATTTGGTCTTCATTCTTTTAATTTTAATTTTTTAAAATTATTCTCTTAATTAAATTCTCTTTTCAATTGCATCCCTCAACATTTTATATCATTTTCTTCATTAATTTTTTTTAATTGCATTTTTTAATATTTTATTTTATATTAAATTTTATCCTTATTTTTTTATTCCTAATTATTTTAGTTTTAATAATTTTTTATTGAAACTTTCTTTTTCAATTTCATCCCTTAATATTTTATTGATCAAGGTTTGGTTAACCTTCCAGGTTACGAGTTTGAAAGATAGAACCGAATTAGCTTATATTCTTTTTTAGATTCTTTTTTAAAAATGAATTTTGTTGATGTCATTTTTTATAGGATTATTATGATCTCATTGATTAGATCACAAGTTTCACATGTTAACTCAACTTTAAATTGAATATATTTTTAAAAAATTTATTTGTTGTTGTTGCTTGATTTTTTTTATTATAATATAAATGAATTGAGGTTTAACTTGATTATCAAAATTTTCTTACTTTTTTTAAAAGACAACAATCTCTTGAATTTTTTTTATAGGTTGAAAAAAGATTAGTACAACTCCCAACATTACATGGATCACCAATCTAGTTAAACCATCTAACATGAGCAACTTTTTATAATTAATTCAGGCTTTATATCATGTATTTTTTTTTTAACTCAAGGTTAAGGATATAGTTAAATTGTATTTTTAAAAAAATTTAAATTTTTTAGTTTTAAGTTAATTTTTTGTATTTAAATTATTTTGATATGTTAATATTAAAAATAAATTTTAAAAAATAAAAAAAATCATTTCAACACACTTCCAAACAAAATTATTTTTTTATAAAAAAGCTTGCCCATTCTTCCAAACACCACTTTCATTGCATCACATAATGGTCACCTCTTCACGATCGGCGATCGGTGAGCCACTGAATCCCCATCAAGTTGAAGAGATTTATCAACCCAATAAGATCCTTCAGCGGAGAAGTCAAAGAACTCGTCGACATCAAAGTTCCCAGTCTCCAAGTTCCATGCTTCTCTAGCGCTGCCCTCTTCCTCGACCTGAATGGCATCCGAAGTCTTTTGGTGCATGGTGGCTAGCGGTGTGGAAGGTTGATCTGGCATTTTCTCCTTTTGAGTTTGATCTATAATTTTCTTGCTCAAATGAGAATTCCAGTAGTTCTTAATTTCATTATCTGTTCGTCCTGGAAGTCTCCCAGCAATCAGTGACCACCTATATTCATGTCAAAAAACTGCTCAAATTGCTATCATATTAGACGATAGTGCTCGAAGACGCTCGGCACAAGATAGAATGAACATTTATATCAGTATAGCTCTCGTAATTAGAGTAGTGGTCCGGAGTTTAGAGAATAATTAACCTGTTTCCTAGCAGCTTATGAAGCCTGATAATCAAGTCCTCTTCGTCACATGATATGTTGCCTCTCTTGATGTTAGGTCTCAAATAGTTCATCCATCTCAATCTGCAACTCTTTCCACATCGATTTAAACCTGAAAAATATAAGAAAATATGGAGGTCCGTCTAGCTAGCATAGAGCACAAAAAAATAGTACTAACTGTTCGAAACCCTGGCAAAATGTAATTGCTAAAATTTACGGTGGTAGCTGTTTTACGAGGAAAACTGGGACTGAGATTGACCTGATTTAAGTGCAACTGTTTTCCACCTTCTGGCACCATGAACTTCAACGCAGTGAGCTAGTTTGTTATCTTCCTCAGCCGTCCATGCTCCTTTGCTCATAACTTTTTTAGTGGATGCATCAGTTACAGTATTCTTGGGAGCCATGAGAGGAAAGAGAGATACAGAAGTTTGAATATAAGAAAGACAAAGTTTTCTTGAAGTAGGAAATTGTTAAGAGTTAGCGAGATGCAGGTAGCATGTTCGCTAGTGATTGCGGCACAAAAAGGAGATGCAATTGGTGATTTATATGAGACGGACATAAATGCATGTTGGACTTGGGCAATTCATGAAGGGGAGAAGTAAGTATTAGTGTACATGTCTTATAGCTAATTAGTTGGATAGGTGTGATATATATATATATATACATATATATATATATATGTATATTAAGGGTTTATTTATCTTTAATATTTATTAAATATCTTATTAATGAATTTAACATTTAATTAAAGAATTTAAAGAAAAGATAAAGTTTTTTAGAAAAAAATATTTTGCAAAGAAAATTATAAAGTTATAATTATGAGATTTTCATTTCATAATGATATTATTTCTAAATGTTAATGGTCAATGTTCTATTAAGACTGCACATTAATTAAAACAATTGAGATTAATATATATTATGTTTTTTTGTTAATGAAAAGAAGAAGTTATTCTTATAAGTTGAAGTACGAGGGATACTTAAAAACTAATATATAAATATTTGTCAGATAACATGTGCACTAAACTGACTCGCATGAGAATTCTATATGGATAGATCACACGTGTCCATGGAAATATCTATGTGATAGTTATATAAGTGATTCTTAGACTTAAAATCGCTAAATTATTTCATATAAAGAATATTATATTTTGATTTTACTGCACGTTATCTTAATCAAGGGTATTACATATAATATGAATTATAGGAAAGTATTTAAGTAATCAAGAGAGGAATATTCATCATCTTAGGTGCATTGAAGAAAATGTTTCATTTGTTCCCAAATAGTATTGATTGTAGTTCTTGCTGAAGGTGAAATGAGATTTAAAAATAATTTTAAATCTCATTAAAAGAATCAATGACTATGGGGTCGATAATAAATATGATTTGATATAATAAATGTACCCTATGCTACAATGTCTAAGTCAGAATATTGTTGATGAAAGAATAATAATTAATTACACTGAGAAATAGATGACTAAAAATTAAAATTAAATTACTTATGATTTTTTTAGTATTTAAAGGATCATGATAAGTTGTTATATATTATTATATTTAATTTTTAAATATAAATTAATTCATTATTCTTAAATCAGGTTAAAATTAATTTTGAGGCATTTACATATCATGATGGAACTATATAAGGGATAAGAGTCATATGGGACTATATAAGGGATAAGAGATGACTCTCAATTTCAGATAAGATGACCATTAATCTCAAGTACTAAAATATTTGTCTGAAACATAGTGAATTTTCTAGGGAAACAAAAAACTAAAAGAAAAAAATATTGCCCTTTCAAACTACAAATAAATAAAGATAAATTGTAAAAATCAAATAGTCCATGGCTTGCAAAGGTATTCGATTTTTACTTTTCTCTAGTCATTAAACAAGTAGAAAATATGCGAGAGCACAAGGAAAGAGCAGTAATCGGTAGCAATTCATTGATGTGGAACTGCTCACAGTTGAATCAATCAATACCTTTCTAGAAAATCTTCGATTCATGATTTCACGCATTTAACTCTCCTTATAACCGCCTTTTCACAAATTTAGTTGTTGTACTTCAACTTCAAAATAATTGCTCATCAATGATGCGATGAATGAAAAGGTAAAACCTTTTATTTTTCACATGGATGATGACATCATGGTTTCGGGTTTTTTTTCCCCGGCTTGCTTGATGTTCTAAGCTAGTGTGCAACTCTCTCAGTATGTTATTGTAACATTTAGAACAACTTTTAGACTTGAAAATCATTGAGGTTGAGTTTACAGAGAGGGCACAAAGGGAGTGAAACTATCCCAGCAAAGCCAGCTGATATTAGCCGATTATCAAACGAACAGATTCAAGGTGAGAGGATTTCCTTTCGAGATAAGTGGTGGGAACCAGAAACCCACCCCCTGCGCTTGAAAAAACTGACATGATAGGGCAACAACTTGTTCATGTTGAATATGAAAACGAGGATCGTTTGCTACCGAAGATTTTCTTGGATGACAAGATTTTAAATGATTTTGTGTTATCCATGGGGTGACTCATTGATAATAGAATTGTCGGGGAAGAATATAGGGTATACCCAGATGAGTTCTCGCTTGAGTACTGCCCTATGGAAACTGAATGGTGGTTTGGACCTTATGGACGTAGGGCATGGCTTCTTCATGGCCAAGTTTGATCAAGAGAATGATAGACAGAAAGTCATGGATGGAGATCCTTGGATGATTTTGGACCAAATTTTGTGTCTCCTACAGCTAAAATTAATAGAACTCTAGTTTGGGCAAGGATCCCAGATCTGGAATATCATATACTATGTGATGAAAGTTTTCTTTTAGTCTTGGCCACAGTTCTGGGACTCTTGTCAAAGTAGATATGAACATCCTTAACGTAGAGAGAGGGAAATTTGTCAAGATTTGTATTAAATAGATTTAAACCAGCCTGATGCGGGGAAGGCATGGATTCGAGAGCGAGAGCAGTACTGGTATAAGGTCGCGTACGAGGGGCTACAGCTACACATCATAATATTGCAAGAAGATCATGCTCATTAGATTCCTATGGAAGCACGCTAGAGCGAGGGGTTAGCATGAAGGATGGGATGACAGAGAGGACTAGCCCTAGTGTTATGGCACAGCCAACAAATCCTGAAAATTCTGCCATGCAGCTAGAGGAAGGCGAAACTCATGGATCAGGGCACGAGAGCTGAGGAAAAGGATTATGCGTTATCATACAATGAATATAATGTTCTGCGAGGTCCAGCTATGAAGGATAAAGGGCCTGTGAAGGGAGTTGGGCCAGAAAGGGTAACATGGGTGGGGTTGAGTCCAGCGAAAGGACAAGAGAATAGCTCAGGTAGAGGGTCCAGGTGGGGTTCAGAAGCCTTCTTTACCCAAGGGGAGCCTCGCTATACTATGAGTATGTTTACAAGTGCAGTATAAATTATATTTTTTTTTTAATTTTGATTTTTAAAATTTTTAGATTGTTTTAATGTGTTAATAATAAAAATAATTTTAAAAAATAAAAAAATATTATTTTAATATAATTCTAAATAAAAATATTTTAAATATAACAACTATCACAATTCTAAATATATTCTGAGACACTCGGCAGCCCGTATATTTTAGTATCCTCAATGCTAAACAGACCAACAAGAGAACTCAGCAGGGAAAAGATGGGGTCACTCAGCTGAGGGCTAGATGTTAACATGATAAAATAATGATTTTTTAAATAATAAGAGTTTTTTAAATTCTTTGATAAATTAGTAAATAAAAACATAATTTTAAACAAACAAAGAAGCAGCTGTTCAAGGGAATTAGTAGCATATTAAAAGAGATTTATTATTTAAACTTTCATTTTACCGTGTTTACATTAAAAGAATATTAATGGGTAGCATATTCAAGGAAATGAAGTACTCATAATCATTCTCACTCCAAAAACTATGTGTTTGTTCCCAAAAAAACTTATTTTTATATGCTACCAAAAAACTTATTCAGTTATTTTTATATATTAATTTATTTTTATTATCATTAAATTAAATAAAAATTTAATTATAATAAATAGAATTATTAAACATAATTGAGTGGATGTCTCGCTTTACAATATTAATTGCTTGGATTCCTGAGGGTAAAAACAGAGAGAGCCAAGGCTCTGATCTGAACAGGAGTACTTTCAGGGAAGAGCTACCAACTCCTCAGCGCTATTTTTCAAACTTGGTCGCCAAAGAAGAGCATTAACTAGGCAGCAGCCACGCTACCTTGACTTGTACAACGTATGCGGTAGGTCCGATGGAAAGATAAGAGAGAACACGTGAGAACTTCAGACTTTTCCTGGCGGACTCTACTTCCGTGAAGGAATGAAATTTGTGTTCTCAGCAAAACTTGCAATTAATTCCAGCATGTCATTGTTATTATAATATTTTCATCTGATTAAAACATGGTTAGAGTTAATAGATGACATTATATAAAAAAATAAATTTAATTAAAATAAAAAAAACATATAATGTTACAACACAATATATAATTTACAAAATAATTTTATTGGTTGAAAATTTTATATTAAAGCTTGTTTTTTAGTATGATTATAGTTTTTTTTTAATAAATTTTTGTGCTAAAATACATGCTAATAATAATTTTTTTATTTTTTAAAATTATTTTTAATATTAATATATCAAAATAATTTAAAAATATTAAAAATATATTAATTTAAAATAAATACAAAAATAATTTTTTTTTTAAAAATACTTAATACATAAACAAACAAACTCTATGACTCAATAAAATTATAATTTTAATAATAAAAGTTGGCCGATCTCGACAGGCATTTTATATAAATATATAAAACATAGAGTTAGTGGAATGAAGAACAATAAAGTAAATTACAACTTAGTCCCTGTAATTAACAAAATAAATAATCAATTATTCCCTTGTCTATTATTGACCATGCTCAATTTAAAAATATTTTATTCAAAAAATACTTTCTTTTCTAATCAATCTTTTGATACCATCTACTTCTTATTTTATTGTTCTATTTATTTTTAAAAAAATCAAATTAGAAAAGAGCATGAAATAGATGAAAATATAAGGTTTCTGAAAAATAAAGGACTAATTAGATATTATTTATAAAATACAGATACTAAGTTATAGTTAAAACAATGATTTGGGTTTCCTCCGACCAAAAGGCGTCGTGGGGAAGCCTAGGAGGATAAACGACAATAAAGGATCTCAAAGCCCACACCGATGTGAACGTAATAGTACACGTACTTGTCAAAAAAGCGTCTAGAAAGGCAGTATATCATCCAAATCATCGAAAATCCATGTGGATGTTTTCCCTGCTTATATATATATATATATCCATGTGCGCCGGTGCTCCTCAATCTCTACGACTCTACCACCGCATCAAACCTACCCCCCCCCCTCTCTCTTTCCTGCTTTGTAGAATCTGTTGGTTTTCAAAATAATTTTATTGGTTGAAAATTTTACATTAAAGTTTGTTTGTTAGTATGATTATAATTGCTTTTTAAATAAATTTTCATGTTAAAATACATGATAATAATATTTTTTTATTTTTTAAAATTAGTATATCAAAATAATTTGAAAA